AATATACATCTTCTTCCAATGTCCACATTACAGCATGTTCAGAATGTGAAATATCAAGTTTATGCTGTAATACCATAAAAGACACGAGAAGGGGGGTTATCGAACCTGTCTGTTGTCCGAGGCGTCGGTAGATTCTGTCGCCCGTGTTCACACCCCAAACTTGGTTGCTGCTAGAACTGATGTAGACTTCTTTCAGACCCCCTTCGATTAGCTGCCAGCTACTACCTTGAGGTGTGCCAGCACTTAGACCTGCAAAAAGATTCTCGTCTTAATCCATCGAAGGGCATTGTCAGTGGAAAGACCAGAGCGTTCAATATTGATTTTAGATGCAAGTTAAGAATTGAAAATACAAAATAAAACTTACGATGCCAATCTAACTAGAAAATTTACCGACTTTCAGTTATTCCAGACAACCATGTACTTTCAAGAAACTCTTTTTTTTGTATAATATATTACTCTATGCAACATATTAAAATTAGTAGCCTACCGCGTCGTACGTAGATCTGGTTGTTTCTGTTGACACCCCAGACCTCGCCATTCCCTGACGTGATTTGTTCAAACCACCGCTGACTTGTACCCAGCCAGTTCCAGCTGAAGCCTCATTACCGGACGTTCCCGTGCGGTAGAAGATCTGGTCGTTGCTGTTGACGCCCCAAACACCGGCTCGTCCAACCGACACGAATTTCAGCAACCCACCAATATTCTGCCAGCCGGTTCCTGTGCATATGAAGGAGCACAGGTCTCAAGACAGATCACAAATTTCATAAGATTCCTTACAAGTTTGTAGGAGTTAATTGGACGAATTTATTAATGGAAGCGGTATTTTACCTGCCGGATTGCCTGCGGTGATCCCAGTGCGTCGAAAAATCGCATCCCCGGAGTTTACGCCCCATACTTGGTTGCTAGTCGAGCTGACATGCACCTGTTTCAGCTTTCCTGGAATATTGCGCCAGCCAGTTCCTTGGGGTGAACTCGAACTTATTCCTATAGCAATAGAATATTGGATAAAAACACATGCATCAGCGCTTGTGAGATGTGACAAGAAACCTCCAGAAATCGTGACCGTGCTGTGGCCTTGCCTTGGTACACTCTAAATCTTTCCTCTCGGTATGTCAAACATATAAAGACAATGCATTAGTTCAGGGGATCGAGCAAGAGGTGCAAGTTGGCCACTGACTGACCTAATCGGATATAGATGTCGTCATTGCTGTTGACTCCCCACACAATGTTGTTTCCGGAAGAGATCTGTTTTAGGGCGCCATCGATGCGTACCCAGCCCGTGCCCGGAGAGGCTTCGTTCTGGTAAGTTCCAGTTCTGTAGTAGATTTGATCGCCACTGTTCACTCCCCAAACGCCTGATTGGCCAACCGACACGAACTTTAGCCCTCCGTCAATCTGTTGCCATCCGGTGCCTGTGCCTGAAGCAAGAGAGCAAATGGACCCACGGAATTATGTCGTAACCTACAGTCAAGTCAGCAAATAGAATCGTCGTTGTCGCATGCGTGTCACTTCATGCCTAAAATGGTTGCAAATAGCCCCATTGTTGGCTTACAGACTAAAACGCTTGCATCGACTGTAATGTCTGCACAACACTTCATATATTCTAAGGTGGCTTGAATTCTAAGTCCACTCCGTCTGTTTCTTTCTATTGATATAGGAGGGTTTGCTAGTTTCTGATTATAGACGCTCACAACACATATAACACACAGTGCGCCATCGATGTTATACAGTCAATTTGCCTGCTATACCTCTGCTTGATGACGATCTCTCGATAAACCTTAGCCAAGCACGGGAAATATACATCTTCTTCCAATGTCCACATTCAGCATGTTCAGAATGTGAAATATCAAGTTTATGCTGTAACACCATAAAACAACACTTGAAGGGGGGTTATCGAACCTGTCTGTTGTCCGAGGCGTCGGTAGATTTTTGTCGCCCCGTGTTCACACCCCAAAACTTGATTGCTGCTAGAGCTGATGTAGACTTCTTTCAGACCCCCTTCGATTAGCTGCCAGCTACTACCTTGAGGTGTGCCAGCACTTAGACCTGCAAAAAGATTCTCGTCTTAATCCATCGAAGGGCATTGTCAGTGGAAAGACCAGAGCGTTCAATATTGATTTTAGATGTAAGTTAAGAATTGAAAATACAAAATAAACTTATGTTAACAATCAAACTAGAAAATGTACCGACTTTCAGTTATTCCAGACAACCTTGTCTTAAAAAAAACTCTTTTTGTATAATATATTACTCTATGCAACACATTAAAATTAGTAGCCTACCGCGTCGTACGTAGATCTGGTTGTTCCTGTTGACACCCCAGACCTGGCCATTCCCTGACGTGATTTGTTTCAAACCACCGCTGACTTGTACCCAGCCAGTTCCAGCTGAAGCCTCATTACCAGACGTTCCCGTGCGGTAGAAGATCTGGTCGTTGCTGTTGACGCCCCAAACGCCGGCTCGTCCAACCGACACGAATTTCAGCAACCCACCAATATTCTGCCAGCCGGTTCCTGTGGATATGAAGGAGCACAGGTCTCAAGACAGATCACAAATTTCATAAGACTCCTTACAAGTTTGTAGGAGTTAATTGGACGAATTTATTAATGGAAGCGGTATTTTACCTGCCGGATTGCCTGCGGTGATCCCAGTGCGTCGAAAAATCGCATCCCCGGAGTTTACGCCCCATACTTGGTTGCTAGTCGAGCTGACATGCACCTGTTTCAACTTTCCTGGAATATTGCGCCAGCCAGTTCCTTGGGGTGAACTCGAACTTATTCCTATAGCAATAGAATATTGGATAAAAACACATGCATCAGCGCTTGTGAGATGTGACAAGAAACCTCCAGAAATCGTGACCGTGCTGTAGCCTTGCCTTGGTACACTCTAAATCTTTCCTCTCGGTATGTCAAACATATAAAGACAATGCATTAGTTCAGGGGATCGAGCAAGAGGTGCAAGTTGGCCACTGACTGACCTAATCGGATATAGATGTCGTCATTGCTGTTGACTCCCCACACAATGTTGTTTCCGGAAGAGATCTGTTTTAGGGCGCCATCGATGCGTACCCAGCCCGTGCCCGGAGAGGCTTCGTTCTGGTAAGTTCCAGTTCTGTAGTAGATTTGATCGCCACTGTTCACTCCCCAAACGCCTGATTGGCCAACCGACACGAACTTTAGCCCTCCGTCAATCTGTTGCCATCCTGTTCCTGCATTTAATTAGAGAGGAAATGGACTCACGCCCTGACATACTGTAAAGGCTTGAAATGGAATCGCTATCGTCACACACTGGTCAGTTGGTGTCTGAAGTGATTAATTTTAGGATCTAATAAGTGTTCTTTTCTACTACAACATTTTCCCATTGATTACGGGAATGAGCCTTAGCTTTTCGTAAAGTTTGACGTGAAGAATGAAATGACTACAATTAACATTATTTTGAATAACCTTATTATCAAAGAATTAATCTACCATTGAAATATATTGGTGATTTACACACCCAAGATATGTTATTGACGCAATAAAACATACAGTGCATAATGCGGCTGCAATATCTTATTGGGCCTTATTGTCGGTTTTGTTTTATTTTTGCTAATGACAAATGAATGTACTTTCCGATCCTATTGTGTGTGTCCCTGTGTGTTTTGCGTCTTTCAGTCTGTGTTTGCGTGCACACAAGTGTGTTTACGGATATTTGTTATCAGGAAAGATAAGAAGGACCAGATTAATTGTGATGATATCATGTATGTGGGTATAGGTCTTGGTACAGTTCAGACATTCACGTACATGTACTTACCAAAACTCCGTTCTTCTTTCAATATTTTCTCTTCTGCAATGTAAGTTTGATTTCTGTCAGCAAAATGTTTCACACTCCAATTATGTCATCAGTAGAATGAGAAATCGCCATCTAAGATCAATGTTATGAACCAATTTTCATAAAGCATTAGCTATAAAATGGCCACAATTGTAAGATCAACTAAGACCTAAAATGATTGTTCATATTATGTTGCTGACACACACAGCATAAAAACGAAATAAATTATTTTCATCCTTACCAACCCCATCCAGCCTGGGCTCCTGGTCAACTTTTTCAATCATGTCCCTTGCCTCTTCTTCAGTCAAATCTAAACCAAATAGACGGACTTAATCAAATACATGACAATTTCTCCAATAAACAACAATAACAAGAAATCAAATACAACACCAACAAGAGTTCCACAAACTCATACCTTCGCCAAATGACGTCAACCATGATTCTGACTGAGGAAATTATACATTTTTCCCACTTGTTATGAAAATGAGACCCTCGTTTCATTTCCCTTATTGATTGTATCAGTTGATCATATTCCCCACCCAATGACAGCCTTATCTTAACAGAGAGGGCTCTTCTAGCACTTCCTCATTAATTATGCTAATGAGGTTGGGATTTCAATAAATTATGTTTATTTCGTTTATGCTCAGTTTCATCCTCCTCTTCTTCTCCAAACAAATAAGGTCAATGACCTGGACCAGACGTCTGTCACCGTGGTAATTAGTGAAGGGTTACATCACGTCACAGGCAGGGGGGATTTAGACAGTTGTCACCATATATATGAATGTGCTAAGGTAAACATTATGCATTTTCTTGGCATGTGACCTTTCTAGCTGATGTTCACCTTCACTTAACCTCCAAATGTGACAAGTATGAACTTCCTGGCGATCACTACTATAAAATTATAGCAATTTTCTCTTAATTACGCAAATTAGGTATTCATTTTACATAATATATATATATTCAGATATTCTTCTCATTCCCAATTACATACTAGTATGTCACAAATGTTCCATAGGCCTATTATGAAATATAGCAATTTTTTAGAATTCTTCATTAATTATGCAAATTAGCTCCTTATTTGCATAATTATCATCTTATTATGTTAAACATCATTTAAGCTAACTACGTACCAAAAATCATGACAATCCGTCATCCGGTTCTTGAGTTATCCTTCCTCTAAAATTTTTAAACAAACTGCCCTTGAGGTCCAAAACAGCTGCTAGGGGGTCCAAATTAATGCCACTTCTTCCCTTACCCAAGAGCTACATACCATCGATCAAAAATTCAATAAAGCTACT